GCGCACTGATCCTGATGCCAGTCACATCCCTGCCCTGTGGGGAGGCAGGTCTCACCATCTGTAAAATCACTTGTCCAGCTTGGAAAGCCTGGGGGTCCCTTGCTGTGCGCAGATGGGCTTCCCAGGGATTGCTGCCGGCTCAGGGAAGCCTCCTCACTCCATCAGTCTTGGAGCTGCAGGTTGCCTCGCAGCTGGCTGGCCGTGGATGTAGAGCTATTTGCTAGCGCAGTGGTGAGCAGCTCCACTCTTGCTTCACATTTATTGGGGTTTTTTCCTTTAAGGATGGTTTTTGGTTGTTTTGGTGCTTTTTGGCAGAAGGATGGTTTTTGGTTGTTTTGGTGATTTTTGGCAGGCTTTTCCTTAGTCTCAGCTCCCTCTTGTAGCGCTACTTTTAAAGATGAGTTTCCCTGAACAAGTTTGGTTTGTGCAACCATGGATGGCACCGATGGCTGATGTGGGGGTTTGTTCACCCCTTGTGCCCAGTGGGCTGCCCAGTGCTTGGGCTGGTGTGTTTCTTTTCATCACAAAACACTTGCTTATAAAAAACCTTCCTTTGGGGGGTCAGTCCCAACAGAAGTTGGGACGCAGGACCCAGAGTCAACCTCTGCACAGCTCTGGGCTCAGTTTAACTGCCCTGCTTTTAATAAAGCAGCCCTTTTGTTGCAAGTGTACAGCTCATATTCTCTTTGCTTATCAACGTCATATAAATCTCTGGAATCGCCATCTGATCTCTGGACACAGCTCAAACAATGCCCCCAGGATATTAATATTGTACAGCTGCCCTTAATTCCCATGGCCCATTTCACTTCCCTTATTGAGCCAGTGGAGAGGAGAAGTTTGGATGATAAACAACATTAATGGACTGTTGGGCCTTTTCCTCCTGCAGGCTGCTGTGACTGCAGCTGTGCAGGGAGTTATTTCTTGGTGAACCAGTTTCAATCCCAGAGGAACAGGGGATGTGCTCATCCCACCCAGCGTTCATGTGCAACCTGCTTAGTCTAGTTCATAAGCCAGTGTCAGGCATCCCTGTGCCTGAAGCTGCTCCAGCTTCTCCCACTGCCTCGAGCAGCAGCCTCAGGCAGAGGAGATAGGAGCCCTGAGGAAGGGTATCCTGAGGCAGCGACTGCATCGTGCAGGCTGCCAGGGGCATCGCTGTAGTTGAACACCCTGTGAGTGACTGTTCCTTCTCTTCCTCTCCCCAAGCTGATGACCAAGCACCCTGCCAAGCGCCTGGGATGCGGCCCAGAAGGGGAGCGGGACATCAAGGAGCACGCGTTCTTCCGCTACATCGACTGGGACAAGCTGGAGCGGAAGGAGATCCAGCCTCCCTTCAAGCCAAAGGCTGTAAGTGTGCCCGCGGGAAGCGCAGTTCTCCCATCCTCTCCTATGCGCCGATTCTCTCCTGCACAGCAGCTCCCACTCGTGCTGGTGGGTGCACATCCACATAGGTGCAGCACGGAGGTCCCATTTCTCTGCTCAGAGCATCGCATCTCCTCAGATTTGGCACATGCCAAACCCCACCTGTGAAAGGATAACTCTTGGATGCCTTGTCTCACTCTGGCTTGCAGGGGTAGAAGCACCTCGCGTTCAGCTCACGAATGTAATCCTATTGTCACACTGTCTGTCTGTTGTCCCAGGGCTTGGTCTTTCTGTGGGTTTCTTTCTCCTCAATCTGAACAGGTCTCTTTCTTTAAAACTAAACTTTATTTCAAGCCCTTAGCTCAGCACCGTCCTGTCTGAGTTGGCAGCGGAGCTGGATTTCACTCACATTTCTCTCCAAGGTGGAGCAGTGGAAGGCTGGAGCAGGTTCGCAGGTGGAGGAGCTCTGCAGTGAGGATCTGACTTCTCTCTGCCATCCTTTTGGCATGGGCTGTTCTAGCCACAGATGCTGTGGGGGGAGCTGAGCTGCCAGCAGTGAAACTGAGGCGGAGACATGAATAATGTGAAAGCTGTTGGTCAAAAGAGACAGAAAGACAGACTTCTTGATTGCCCCTGGGTCCAGCCACCACTGCAGTGACCCTGCAGTGCCAGTGCAGGGGGGCAGCACAAGCTGCAGAGCGGGTCTCATTGCCTGCACACAAGGTTCATGCTGTGCAGTGCCAGGGTAAGGTCACAGCTAAGTCTGAGTCTCCACAGTGGTCCAGGTCCTTAAGGCATGGGCTTATTCATATGTGTCCGCCTCCTGCATGCCCACTGCTGCTGTGTCCTAGTTGGGCACTGGTGTTTACAGAAAGCTGTGAATCCAAAGTTAAATCTGATTCATGTGGCTGATACAAACCGATATTCATGCCCAGTGATCAAGGGGTTGGAACTAGAGCAACTTCAAGGTCCCTTCCAACCCAAACCAGTCTGGCATTCTGTGACGGCATGCTCTCTTAATCCATCATTGTGGATCACAACTCAGAGTCCAGAGATGCTCCCTGTGCTTAACTGAGCCTTCCCCTGCCCCACTGCCCTTAACAGCCTGGACACATCTGCTTTCCCTCACTTCACAGCAAACCTATTCTTTTGAAGGGACCCCTTCGGTGTTTGGAAAAACACCACTTGCAGGGAAAACATGGGATGGGAATCATTTGGTGCAGGGTGCTCAGCTCCTTTAGCTCTCCTCCCTCTAAATACACTCTGCTCCAGAAGCCTTTTCTCTTCTACAGCTCCTTGCTTGGCTGATCAAAGAGGAATAAGATTTAGCTGGGCTTGACAGGGGCCTCCTCTTCTTCCTGGTGTGCAGCATGGATGGGGCAGCAGGAGGTCTGCCAGCGGTGCCTGGCCTGTGTTTGGGGCTGCCTTTTAGTGTCAGACAAGTATTTTTATCAAGTGTCTATTCAATTAGATATACAAATGTTATTTTATACAAATATTTGTACAAATGTTACTTTTTATACAAATATTTGTACAAATGTTACTTTTATACAAATATTTATACAAATGTTACTTTTTTTATACAGATGTTACTTTTTATACAAATACTCATACAAGTGTTACTTTTTTATTCATACAAATGTTACCTTTTAGACAACTACTTATGCAAACTCCTGCAGTGATGCCTTTTCAGGAAGCTCTATGGGGCACTGTCCTCAGAGGCTTCCACTTCCATGGCTGAGAGCTGCTTTGGTGTGATTCAGTCTCAGGCTGCCCTCTGCATCAGCCAAGACAACAGTGTCCCATTTTCCTTGTCACGGTAGGCAGCTGGTGATAATTAGCACAGAGGTTCTGCATTGGTGCTGCTTTCCTTTCTCTCAGAAGGAATGGAATCTTCAAGCCATTAGACCATGTAGGAATGTCATGACTGGGAAGGCATTAGCTTTAATATCAAAGTATAATTGTGCAAGAGTATGTGGGTTATTTGTACACACCGTGATTTGCTGGCTGAGGGTGGGATATGACCTTTGTCCAGAGGATGCTGACACATGTGGCAGGGATGCTGCTCTGCACCTGGAGCCCATTGACAGGGCTGGACAGGCACCAGGGTTTTGGGTCCTGTTCTGCAAGAGCCCATTTCTCCTGAAATCCATAACTCCTGCTGTTCCCTTCCTTTGTGTTTGTTTGCTAATGGAGCTGCTGCTGCATCTCCCCTCCACACTGCCCTTTCCTCCCAAGCAGATCCCCAGCGCCGCTGTTTGCCTCGGGTTGTGGCACAATGCTGCTGTTTGGTGGTTTATAGTTAGCAACTATTGGATTCTACCAAAAGTGCTTTCTTCCTGGTTTTATGGTTTAAAGTGTGCAAGTTTTGTCCTGCTTTAAATGTCTGATTTCTTTAAGCCCTTTTGACACCGGACTTTGGAAGGGGGGGGGGAAGCTGTGCCCATCGCTTCTTGCATAATGGCTGGCAGTGGGGAGAAAACACCCTTTAGTAGGACAGGGATATTAGCAGAAGGGTAGGCACAGTTGATGTGGGATTTAGGTAGGATTAAGACAACTCAGGTACCTGCTGATAGCTGATATTTCAGCAGCAGTGCATCTGTGCTGGAAAACGCTGCTACTTTCGTGCCAGCTGTGAGTGCAGATCAGAGCAGCAGAGATGGAAATCCAGGCTTGGGCACCTTCACCATGTATTGGGTGGTCAGAGGAAGGACATTGCTCGCTGCTCCTGACCTTCAGTGTTCACACAGGGATTGAGTCTGGCTCTTTACCTTGGCTTAAGCCTTTTTCTTTTAATTAGCTTCTATAAAGGTATTGTCACAGAATCCCAGCCTGGTTTGTGTTGGAAGGGACTTTAAAGCTCCTCCAGTTCCAACCCCCTGCCCCGGGCAGGGACACCTTCCACTAGAGCAGGTTGCTCCAAGCCCCTGTGTCCAACTTGGCCTTGTCATTCCACAATATGGAATAAGATACAAACATGGGCTCAGTGTCTGCCCACAGAAGCCGCCCCGTGCAGTGCAACAGGAAAACAGACCCTTCAGCCCTGTGCCTGGCTGGGGTGTTACATACAGAGCTGAAAATGAATTCTCCAGAGCTCATGTGTTGCTTCCTGCTTTGTGCTTGATTAACCTTTATCACAGAGACGGTAACGAGACAGATCAGGGGCTGGGCTGTCTTTGGTGCACAGAAACACGGCGGCTTTGACATGGGGCTGTGCTTGGCTGCTCCGTGCTTTGGCTTGTGCATAACAATTCCTTCCGTGGGGCTGTGGTTCCCCTGGGAGTGTGTTTACACTTGCCTGCTTTCCCTGTCTCTCACCGAGATAATTATTGTTTTTGGTATCTAATTACTCCTTTACTTTACATAAAGCCTGGTGATTTGCAAAGTCTCCTCATTTTGAAGCATTGAAATCACATGGCAGCGCACAGGATTAGTCACAACAGGACAGTGGCTTAAAAAAATGGCTTTTAATCTAATAATTTTTAATTGCATAAATTAACTTTGCTCTAACTGCTTTGCATTAATTAATACTGAAATGCCATTTATAGACCTGGATGTGTCAAAACGCCGCTTCCCCTGCCTGAGCGTTTCTGTAGCCTTAGTTTCAGTCTCTGCGAGGTGAGTTTGAGTGTTTGCCTGAGTAATTCCCTAATTAGATGAGATTTAAAGATTGAGGAGGCCAACAGTGGGCAGGAGGATGCCATGGGGAGGCAGTCGGATGTGTTCAGGTTAAACATCTCTTCTCATAATCAGGATTTACCCTGGTAGCCTCAGGGTCCTGTAAAGACTTTGAGTCTCTGAGGTTCCCCTCTGATTATTCAGCCAATATTTCCAGTGTATTGGGAAGAAACTCAGCTTTGTTCATAGGAGAGATGAAACCCAGGGTCCTACATCAGAAAACCCTCGCAGTGAATGCTCCCAGTCTTTGCCTGGAGCAACAATGAATGTGCTGGAGCATCTTGAGCAGGGGTAGGGGATGATTAACCAGACACTTACCAACAAGAGGCATCATCATTCCCCCGATCAGTGCAAAGGGGCTCTTGGTGAGGCCCCGGGTTCATGCTGCCACCCAAATTCACCTAAACATGAGGTATCTATTGCCAGAGGTGTCTGTGAGTCCTGATCCTCCCTCCGGTAGCAAGGAGCCAGGTTTCATAACCCAGGAAGGTCAGAGATGCCTGTGAGGCTTGTGGGATTGCGGCTGTACCACTGGTTTGGGCCAAAACCCTGGGAAATGGAGGGCATCTTCAGCCCACCACTTCTCCTTGGTGCTGGAGCAAGGGCTCTGTTGCAGCTGGAGAACATCCATCCTTGGCTTCTTGTGATCTTTGATTGCATCTCGGGATCAATGGAAAATATTATATTATGCCTTTTGTCTCTGCTTGAAATCAAGCTGGAAACTGATAAAATAGAAAGGCTATCTTCTAAGCTGACAGTTTTATTTCTGCAGCTCAGAAAGAAAAGTCATTCTGTGCTGGCTATAAATATTAGACAGGACACATTGGGGATTTATGTAAGATAAATTCCCACCCTCCCCCTTTCTCCATTCAGGATGGAGTGATGCCTGTACATTAATAGAGTACTAAAATGAGGCAGAGTTTTCAAAACGTGGCTTTAGATCAATGTATAACTTCATGCTGCATGTCTCCTGTCCTTCAACGGGGAGCTTCATTTCAGGAGCTTTAAAGAGAAAATAAAACCTTTTTTCCTTCTTGCTCTCTCTTATCACTCATGTGTGGGCCAGACCCTGTGTCTGACACTCCTGCAGTATTGGGCCTTGGCCACTGCAATACAACCTGCCACGTTCCGAGAGCCGGTGGCATTGTGTCATCACAGGGGCAGCTCAGGACATGCGTGCAGGGCAGCACAAGTGCGTGGACACAGCCTTCAGCCCTTGGCTTTGGGCTTGGAAGTGGCTTCTGTAAACCCAAAGGCAATTTCCAGGCTTAAAGTATTTGTTTTACCCATGCGAAAGCTCCCAAAGA